GTAGAGGATGTCACATTACTTAGAGGCCCCACCAGTAATTTTCTCCTGAAGTCATTTTATCCTGATTCAGTTTCAGAAATCACACGCCAATGCTCTTGGCTCGTTGTCTGTGCACTACACAGTAAGATGTATCCTCAGAGGGATGATGGTGGCTGGAACACTTGACATTAAGTACACAGTGAACACAGGGAAACACAAGGGTTTCCCCTCTTGGTGTCTAAAGAGCCAGGATCCAAATTCCAAGAGCTTGAGAGGAACAGAATTTGTATCCATTAATCTTTCCCCTGTTCTAGTCACTGAGAAAGTACCCCTTTCCAACTCCCCAACAGTGGAGGTGCTGAGATCTCTGGCTTAGAAGAGAATGCAGGGTGTCAAGCCTCACCCTCCTCTGCCCTGTGCTTAGTGTTCAGATTTTCTCAGTCTGGTTCTTGTCATAAACCCATCAGGATCAGACAAACACGAGCACCTGTCTTTCTTACTGCTAACACACAGAGACTAAGAGGGAAAGGGAGAGACAGCTGTGCAGCAGGAAGCCTGTCTCAGCCATTATTTCCCCCTGAGGTGAAGGAGGAGTCTGCCCATGGGCTGTGGGTCTCCGGGACTGACAGCTGACAGCAAGGGGCTGAAGATGAGGCTTCTCTGCAGCCCCCTGCTTCTGTATTTCAAAAGAGCACTTTCCTCTGCTGCTGTAGAAACAATATTGGTCAACATCCAACCTGCAAGTCTGAAGCCCGAGAAGTACTCACACTAGGCTCAGGAAAAAGATGATAGGAATTAATTCTTAAGCTACTTTTCAGAAGTCACAATCATTTACTAGTCCAAATACTCTCCAGGCATTTGCATGGCATTACTGCAGTTCCTGTGCTCATGTCCTCTCTGGACACAGAGCTAACATCTGCTTGGTGATGGCCTTCCTTCTCCCTAGCGAGAGATTCCACAGAGCCCTTGCATCTGGCTTTAGTTCCTAGGCTTTGAACTACCTGTTGTTTAAAGTCCGTGATTCTTATCTGAGTTTTTTTCCTGAAGGAATTTTAGAGCCTTTGCAAAACTTAGTCTCGAGAGGACCTGGCAAAATTGGAGCTCTCATGGCTGAGAATTGCTTAGGCAAATGATTCCGTCAAAGAACTCCAGATAAGAGGTTTTGGTGACTGGAAATTGACTTGCCAGAGGTATAATTTGTGTAACAGTAAAGGAGGCTTTTGCAAAGCCAAGAGCAGTCAGTCCATTGAGGCTGGTTCCATCTCCCCCAAGTGCCCCCCTACTTTTGCTAAGCCTGAAATTACATTCTACAGTGACCCCTTTTCAACAGACCCAAGCAAAACAGCACTGAGGCTTCCCTGATGAACCAGCCATCATCCTAGTCTTCCTGATAGAATTGTGCAACAAACAGAGCTCAGTTCCACTTCATCCCAATCCCACTCGGATTACGAGCCAGTTCCCCCTTGCAAAGCCCTCTGTCCATTTTACAGTACCTCACAGAGGGGATGAGAGCGATGACAACTCAAAGGTGAGCTATTTGAGGATGAGAAATACAAGCACACCATTTTCTGAATGCAAGAGTGAACAGGTTCCATTAAGTTCCACAACCATGCTCTTCATCCATCTCCTGTCAACACCAGGAGATGGGCGGGCTGACTCACGTTGAGGAGGAAACAGATATGTTCTTTCTACCTGCTTCTCCCTAGATCAGTGCCTATACCAGGGCATTAAGCACCCCATCCTGCAGTGGCATCTGCCTAGGGGTTTCGAGGAGTTTCTTCTGCCCATTCTACTCTCTACTTACAACCAGATCACAAGTTAGGGTCACTGTCCTGAGCACTCGTCACTTGTTAGAGGCCCATTTGGTGTCGTCAGGTGCTATAGGGCTCTCCCTGATGGCAGTGACTTCAGGATGATACAGTGTCTGCAGTCATGGGTTTTTGGACTCTGCAGTGCAGGGCAAGATAACTCATCTTTCAGGGGACATCCCTACAGCTGGCTCTAACAGAGGGAGCCCATGGTTTCTTTTGGTCATTTCTTCCTTCTTGAGTATTCTGTTTTCCTGGTCTGTTCACTCAGCCTTTTCTTTTCTTTATGTGGGACAATTTCCCAAACCCATATCACTTTCCCTGTGACTTATTTCCTTACAAACATGATGTCAAGTGTCTCTGAATCAATTGGTGTTTTCATTATGCAAAAGGGGATTTGGGTTCGCAATACAACAGGCTATCCTAGTATAATCACAGGCAGTCACCCTTAACTTGTCTGATTGAGGAATTTGTCTTAAATGATACTGCTGCAGGTGGAGCATTTCTGTTGTGTCCCCTGAGTTCTGTGGCCGTGATCTGCTAGACTGATATGATCTGGGAAGGTTTACCTGGGAGGGGACAGTCCTGAGGATTCCTTTTCAATGGCTTGCTGAGGGGTTCATCTTCACCATAGTGGATCCCCATGCTTAGTCTAGAAGTTACTGTATACATATCTTTACAGCATTCATAGTTTAAAGACTTTTACACCATGTGCGTTTGATTGTTATGCCTGGTTGATAAAAGTGTGGTGCAACACTGGGAGATAGCAGGATGACTGCAGAAATGCTGTCTGTCCTGGCCAGGAGGCACCTGTGAGGACCAGATGGTGTGCTGCCTTCTTGGTCTGTCTTCTGGATGAAGGAGGCTTCTCAGGTGGTCACCTCCAGAAAAACAGGTTTTCCAGTGGGTCCAAGGCTTTGTCCACTAAAGTCATGGTTTTAGGAGATTGTTCCCATTTTCCTAAATCAGGGTTTACAGCTGCAGTCTGTCTGTCTGTCTGTCTGTCTGTCTGTCTCCCTCTGGTAGATTTTGTTTCGTTTTGTTTCTGACCTCTGCTTACTGAGACTGTGATTAGGCCATTAAGCCCATATGTTATATGAAGGGAATGATAATTCAAGGGGAATAATTCAGTAAAACTTATTTAAAACTCTATTAGTATTATTATTACTATCAGTCTTACATTATTATGACTATTAATCTCATAAAACTTTAATTTTTTCCCAAGAAGGCTATAGAGTTTTATTCAGGAAATCTCCATTTTAAAATAATTTATTTTATCGTATGTGAACAAATATCTCCCATGCATTCATGTGTTTTCACTATATACATGCCTGGTGCCTGTGGACCTCAGAATTGTTTTTTAGATCCCTTGCTGCTGGTTTTTCAGGTGGTTAGGGGCTATCCTGTGGGTACTGGGAACTGAACCTGGGTCCTCTGCAAGAGCAGCAGATGCTCTTAACCATGGAGCCATCTCTTCAGATACCATTTCTAGTTGTGTAAATGGGCTATCTACCTCAGTTCTGATTTCTTTCATTCCATTCATTTTGTGGGGGCGGAGGAGGCATGCATGCCACAGCACACTTCTTTGGGGTCCTTGGAGTTGGTTCTTGCCTTCCAGAGTGTAAATTCCAGGAATCAAATTCATATCATGATTGACAGCCATCCCCTCTGCACAATGAGCTTTCCTGCAGGCCTTCTGCTCTGAGCACATAGCTGGCACTATATGTTTAGGAACTTGGATACCTCTGCCTTCCCTTCATATCTTACAAGTTCCATGGTCTAAACAAGAAAAAAAAAATACCCCCTCGAGTATCAGATGATAATTATTTTTTACTATATGACTGGAAATTTTTTATATTATTACACAATTCAGGAGTATGATACCTGAATTAAAGTAAATGCTGGCATTGTGTGAGAAAGAATCTTCCAGTAAATCCTCCATCAAATCTTCTGGTGGACATCTGAGGCTTGGGCCCCCTGAGTGAGAAGCATCCCTCCTTCCTCAAGGAGGTATGGAATCCTAGATGCCTGTCCAGCCCATCTTCCAGGATGGGTTTCATCATTTATTAAAACCCTACAATAGGAATGGTTCTAGATCTATTTTAATTATAATTCTGTTTCCGTTTATTTATCTGCATTTGCCAGAGGAGAACAACCCCAGACCATGTTCCTGTGAGTATCTGAAAACGGGATGGTTCTTGCACAGGCTTTTGTTCTGCTGCGACTCAAACACATATCTCAAATGCAGTTACAAAGTGGGGTTCACAGAAAAGGCCTAAAATGCTACCAGAATGCTCTGCTCTGGCAAGGGACTGCCCAGAGACAGTCTACGGCTTTCATATTTAATCTTCTCTGTTTCAGGCAGGGCATAGCTGATCAATTGTTTTAAAAAATGCATGAACTCTCACAAGTCACAAACATAAGGAATCTTGTGGGAACAAAGTCAGCAGCAGACACTTCCACGGCTCACCCTGTGCAGTAAACACTGCCATGCTTAGTACTAGACTCCACCTTCTTTCACACCTCGGGTTTCCCAACACAGGCACATGACTGTCCATATGTTCTAGCGGAGGTGACCGCAGCTCAGAGTCATCCTCAGAGTGCTCAGAGTCACCCTCAGAGGTCTACCTCACACCCTTAGATTGTGGGCAGACTGGGAAGCAGTCTGGATTGAGAGTTCCCACCTATCACTGCTCCCTGCAGAACCACACAAAGAGCACTAGGTCTGCAGTAAATGTACAGAACAGAGAGTGACTGGAATAAAACAACCCTGCTGACCCACGGACACTGTTTCATGCCAGGGCCTCATTCCTACTTTGTGCAATCCTCACTGAACTTCATCAAAAACTGTAGAGCTGCCATGGGCCTGATCATCAAGAGGATGCAGATGTAAGGCAAGGCTGCTTTTGCCTCGGGAAACCTCACATGTGAAGTGGTGAGGAAAATGCTTCTATGACACATGGCAATTTTTAATATGGAAGAGAGCTTACACACTGATGGGGCACAAGTGTTGGAGCAACAGAGATTGCATCTGGACAGTTTAGGTGGAGGTGACATTAAGTGGACTGAGGCTGAACTGGGAAGCACTGACAAGCCTTCCTGAGGTAGCGATGCCGTCATTGACTGAAGTCAATGAGCAAGGCTAGATTTGTGACATGGAATCTTCTTACTGTTTTCCTCACATAGTTCCTACCTGCTTCTTTCAGAAATAAAATGAATCAAATCAATAAACTGTCCCATAACACCAAGTTAAGAAACACCATTTATTCTGAAGCTGGAATTGGGATCTTAGGCAACTGCTTCCTTCTTCTCTTCCATATCCTCAGGCTCATCCGTGGGCAGAAGCCCAGACTCACTGACCTTCCCATTGCGGTCCTGGCCCTCATCCACCTGCTGATGCTGATAGTCATGAGTTTAGTAGCTACAGACATTTTAATGCCTTGGAGGAGGTGGAGTGATACCACATGCAAAGTTATTATATCCTTGTACAGGTTTTTTAGGAGCCTCTCTCTCTGTGCCTCTAGCCTGCTCAGCATCCTCCAGGCCATCACCCTCAGTCCCAGAACCTCCTGTCTAGCAAAGTTCAAATGTCAATCTGCACACTACATGCTAGGTTGTCTTCTTTTCCTCAGTGCCCTCTCTGCGTCCATTAGCAGTCACCTCGTGTCATACGTGACTGCGACCCCTAATTCAACCTCCTCTAGTCTTATATACCTTACTGAATCTTGCTCTCTTACACTCATGAGTTACTCTGTCCGGCATACGTTTTATATATTATTAACTGTCAGAGATGTCATCTTTGTAGGTCTCTTGGCCCTCTCCAGTGGGTACATGGTGATTTTCCTATGCAGACATAAGAAGCAGTCCCAGCATCTCCACAGCACCAGCCTTTCCCTTAAATCATCCCCAGAACAAAGAGCCACACGGACCATTTTGTACCTCATGAGTTTCTTTGTTGTCATGTACACTGTGGACAGCTGCATGGCCTACTTAAGAATAAATGGTGATCCTATGTTATATTGTATATCCATTCTCATAGGTCACAGCTATGCCACAGCCAGTCCTTTATTGGTTCTCAGTGCTGAAAAAAGTATAATTAACATTTTCAAATCCATGTATGGGAGGGCAGTAAACATGTTATTGCTCAAGAATGGGTAAAGTTCCCTGAGGATGAGCTGGCGCACTGCCATCAGAGCCTTGTTTCGTTTTGTAGCTCTTTTGAGCTTCCTGTAAAATGAAAATACAATTTTAAAGATTTATTTATCTTGTGTATATTATGCTTTATCTACATGAATGCCAGCATGCCAGAAGAGAGTATCAGGTCCCATTATAGACGGCTGTGAGCCACCATGGTGTTGACGGAAGAGCTGCCAATGTTCTTAATGGCTGAGCCATCTCTCCAGTCCCAGAGTTATTCTTTTTATTTATTTATTTTTATTTATTTATTTATTTATTTATTCTTTTTTATTTTATTTTATTTACTAAACCTGTATTGTGATATATGTGGATGGCAGACATAAAGGAATAGCCACATGCCAAAAACATACGTGTTTTATACTCTTTAAAAGAAAAGGAGATTCTGCACATGGTACCACACAGATGAGCATGAAGCCACCATACTGACTGAGTGAGAGTCACACAGAATGAATTCTGTGTAGACTACAAGGAGCAGGAAGATCTGGGAGACTCATACAGGCAGAGACAAAGAAGCAGAATGTCATTCTCTGCTCGGTAGGGGCAGCCATGGGCGGCTGGCCGGGTGGAGGAGGAAGAAGTGGTACAGACAGTGGTAAAAATGTAAATAACTCCAAGCAATGTGCTTAAGATGGGGAATGCTCGTATTCTATGTGCTTTATCATAATAAAAATGTGTTCAGTTACCTTCACCCATATGCAAAGTACATTCTTGTGAAATGAAAGGATGAAAAGATTCTTGAAGTGTCAAAATGTGATTTTACAAGTTTCAAAGCATGGAAGACTTTCTCCAAACAATGATCATTTTCTAACAGTCCCAGTCTTAGCTTCAGTTTCTCAGAGTAAGCAGAGAAGTTCCTCCTAGAGTGTCCGGAGGCACCATTGCCTGCTGCTCAGCCTTTGAAAGACCTTCAGCCCTGCCAACCTTGGCTACGGTGAGGTATAATAACCTGTTTGAGAAACAACAAAATTTATCTGAAAAGGCTCTCAGCCTCCCATTAGCTCCAGCGCTTTGACTTTCTGGATCAGGTATCTCAAATGACATTAAACGCTGAAAGTCAGTAAAAATAGGACATGCAAAGTCACCCAGCATGAAGAACAGCCAATGCTGTGGAAACAATAGACTTGTCACACATGTTTAATTACCAAAACGCTGCTACAGTTAAATCTTATATATGTGATAGAATTATGTGTCATTCAATATTTCAGAAGATCAACTCAAGAATATGTGACAAACTAAATACTGCTTAATTTTCCTGCCATAGTGACAGCCATACACATACTTTGATTTCATAATTCCGATTTTATGATTTTATTTAAAGAACTAACTTTAAAACTGGGTGATGAGCTGGCTATCGTGGTACACTCCTTTAATCCCAACACTTGAGAAACAGAGGCAGATGGATCTCTTTGCGTTTGAGTCCAATCTGGTCTATATAGTGAGTTCCAGAATAGCCACAGAACAGAGTGAGACCCTGCCTCAAAACAAACAACAAACAAACAAAATGAAAATAAACAAAACATACTGGGTGAGGGAAGTAGACAATTTGGAAAAATATTAAGTTATGTTGACTCTCTTCATTTTCAGGCAAATATTAACAGAATGGAATTTTACATATTTTACATATTCAGTTGACGTGACACAATATTTGCAACTATTAAGAGGTCAATAACATGGGAGCAAATGAAGGAAATGATCCAGTTGATAATGTAGAAAGGACAAGAAGATGGTGAGAAATGTGGGTGCATGTCTATTGTCCTAGCATTCAGGAGGCTGAAGGCCAAGGGTCACAAATTCAAGTTCAGTCATGGTGGCATTGTCAGTTCTATTCCAACATTCATTACCATGTCTCAGAAAGAGAGAAGACATGGACAGGCCCTTCAAAACTAAGACATACATTAGTAAATTAGCACATGAAAGGATTTATTTGAACTAGGTCAATAACATTAAAGATACTTGTCAGTCATCAAAACAACAATTTGAGCCTGGCATTGGTGGTGCACACCTTTAATCCCAGCACTCGGGAGGCAGAGGCAGGCGGATCTCTGTGAGTTCGAGGCCAGCCTGGTCTCCAGACTGAGTGCCAGGATAGGCTCCAAAGCTACACAGAGAAACCCTGTCTCAAAAAACAAACAAACAAAAAAACACAAAAAAAAAACAAAAAAAAAATCAAAAACAAAACAGCATCAATCACTGACTCTCAGAGGGAAGTACAAACCAGAAGATGTTGAGAAAACTGTGGTGTATTTTGCTCCACACCACCATATGAGCTAGCAATCACACTCCCAGTTCGACATAAATCATATGAAAATATACACCCTCATGATCCTGAATGTGAGTGTTCCACCCTCACAGTCCTGCATGCTAGTGTTTAAAGACAGTGGCGACTTTTAAAGTTGGACTACAATTTACATTATGAAATAAATATGAAACTTTGGGGGAAAGGGTCCGATGGTGATATCTTTAGGTGGCGTGTTTTTATGTCACGTTGACAAAGAGTGGATGTGAGTTTTGTCAACTTGACACACTCTAGAATCATGTAGGATTGGGTCTCAGTGAGGAACTGTCTAGATCAGGTTGGTCTGTGGGCCTGTCTGTGGGAGTTTACCTTGGTTCATTAATTGAGCTAGAAGAGACCAGGCTGGCCTTGAACTCACTGAGATCTGCCTGCCTCTGCCTCCCAAGTGCTGGGATTAAAGGTATGCACCACTACCACCAGCTGTCAGGGCTTTCTCTAAAAGTTCCTGTAGCCAAACCAGTGACCAGCAAAAAGACAAATATAGTATGTACTCACTCATAAGTGGATACCAGACGTAAAGCAAAAGATACCCAGCCTACAATACACAACCCCAGAGAAGCTAGAACCCTCTTCCAGAAACAGATGGAAGCAGATGCAGACTTCCACAACCAACCAATGGGCCAAGCTCCTGGAGTACAATCGAAGTGAGGGAAGAGAGATAATGAGAACAAAGAAGCCAAGACCATGATGGGGAAACCCACACAATCAGCTGACCCGAGCTAGCGAGAGATCACTGACTCAGGTCTGACAACTGGGGAACCTGCATAAGACTGGTCTAGACTCCCTTAATATAGGTGACAATGGTGTGATGGGACAATACATGAGGCCACTGGCAGTGGGTCCAAGATCTAACACTAATGCACAAACTGACTTAGTGGAGCCCATTCTATATGGAAAGCCTAGACACAGAGGTGTGGGGGTGGAGAGGTGCCTTGATCCTGCCTCAACTAGATGATGGGACAGACTTAGTAGACTTCCTAGGGGAGGCCTTACCCTCTCTGAGGAGCAGATTCGAGGTAGGGTGTGTGTGTGGGGGGGGCGGGAATGGGGGGTAGTGAGAGGAGAGGAAGGAGAGGGAGCAGGAGTTGGAATGTAAAATTAATTAAATAAAAAGAATGAAGCTAGTTCTAAAAAAAAAGCACACATCTGGCGCCACCTAGTGTCAAATTGGAGGTTGGCAGCTTTTTCCATTTTTTTAAAAGTTAAACTAGAAACAATCTTACTTTATGTATCAATTCCAGTTCCCACTCCTTCCCCTTCTCCCATGCCCTCCACCGACCCTCATCTCATTCCTGTTCTACTCCATAGAAAGGATGAGGCTTTCTATGGGGTATCATCAAAATCTGTCACATCATTTTGGGCAGGGCCTAGGCCCTCCCCCATGTGTCTAGGCTGAGACTGACTATCCTTCTATGATGAATGGGCTCCCAATGTCCATTCATACACAAGGTATAAATACTGTTCCATTACCAGGGTCCCACAGACTACCCAGGCCTCCTAACTGGCACCCACTTGCAGGGGGCCTGCTTTGGTCCTATGCTGGTTTCCAAGCTGTCAGTATGGGGCCCATGAGCTCTCCCTAGTTCACGTCAGGTGTTTCTGTGGGTTTCCCCAGCATGGTCTTGACCCCTTTGCTCATCAATCCTCTCTCTCTACAGTTGGATTCCAGGAATTCTGCTCAGTGTTTAGTTGTGGGTGTCTGCTTCTGTTTCCATCAGCTACTGGATGAAGGCTCTATGATGGTATATTAGGTAGCCATCCATCTCATTATCAGGGAAGGGCATTTAAGATAGCCTCTCCACTATTGCTTAGATTCTTAGTTGGAGTCATCCTAGTCTATCTCTGGACATTTCCCCAGTGCCAGATTTCTCTTTAAACCTTTAATGGCTCCCTTTGTTAAGGTATCTCTCTCTTTTTTTTTCTCTCCTCTATTCTTCCCCCAACTCAATCTTCCTGGCCCCTCATGTCTTTCTCCCTCCCTCTTCTTCTCCCTCATATATGGATGTTAGACATAGAGCAAAGGATTACCAGCCTACAATCCACAACTCCATTCCTTTTCCCTATACCTCCCATCACTTCAATCAGCCCTTCAGCCCTGCCCATCTCTTAACCTTCAACCACCCTCAGGTCCTGCCCATGGCTTTGGTTCTGCATCACCTGATGGCACTCTGTCTCACCTCTTCCACTCAGATTCCTGTCACTGGCTCTTCCCACCAACTCATCCTACGGAGTACCATTTGGGATCTGTTACTGGCATCCTCTGCAGAGTGTTGATGTGCCCAGTTAGATTCACACTGAACATAGGTCAGCTAAGCCAGGCGTCTTCTGGCTCCTCTTCAGTCAGCTAACAAGCCTGTGCACCTTACTCCCTCACACACCAGCTTCCCTGTGATCTCCTTCCAGAAACAGGATAGATGTCATGGCTGAGAGAACCCGGGTTCTGGGGAATTCTGGGCCCCCACATCAAAACTTGGGGCTGTCTGTTACTATTAAAGTCTCTTTATTCAAGAAGACACCAAGGCAAAACACAGGCCAGAGCTAGGTTATAGAACCCAGCAAGCGGGGCCAGAACAAAAGAGGCCTGGGTCCCCACGTGCAGCCCCTTAAGAAGCCCCCTTACGTCACCCCGGCTTTCCTTCACCACGCCCTTATGGGCGAGTCCCGG